GCTAATTTTTCTTCCCCTCTGATAAAAGGATAGCTAAATAGATTGTACTCCCAACACTTAACAATAAAGAGAAAAAAAAAAAAAAAACTTCTTTCTTTCTTTCTTTCTCCAAAAGGCCAGCAAACAAAACAAAAGATCAAACCTTTAACAGTATAGTTGTCAAGAAACAAAGAAAGAAGAGTTGAAACTCACCACTCCCAAAGAAGTTAAATAGCATGACAAAAGGGATTCTTGAAATGGAGAAAACAACAAATACTCACCTACAAACAGAGAGAGCTATCTGAGATTTTCTTGAAACCCCCAAATCTTTAATTTAAAAGTCCAAGAAGAGCCATTGAAAATGATTGAATGTAAGGTTTGATGTCAAGCATGAAGGGAACCACCAAATCAGAGATTTAACAGAGTGGAATGATGAGCTCCCTCCTATATGTTTTTTTTTTAGGAATTGAAAAATTGGGGTCCAAATGAATTTCAATAATAATAAATAAAAAGAAATGAGAGCTATGGCTTTTGCGCTGTGTCTTTTGCAACTTTATCACTTTGTCTCACTGATGATGTTTACTTTCTTTATTCTGTTTTGAATCTGCTTTTGTGGGTCTCACAATTTTATTTCATCTTTTTCTCTCATACTCCCTTAAAAAAAACTCTAACAAGGCATGCATTTGGGTTGTCTTCTCAAAGTCCCTATCTTGCTTTTGCTTTATTTGGTTTTTAATATATTTAATAAAAAAAATTGTTCCTGTTGCTTTTCTGGGTCTTTGCAGAATTGATTCTCCTTAAATTATTTACAAAAAAGAAGAAGAATTCATCAATTCAAGATAAGGAAATCACCATCATTTTCAAACCAAACAAAGTTCATTGAATGACAAGACTACCCTCAAAGAATCACCAAAAATAAAGGTATAAGAGAATGTAATAATCCAAATTTAATTTAATTTATCTGTTAGGCACTAGTCTCATAATATTTGATAACGGATTGAATCTAAGATACAATTTTTTTACCTCTACAATTAATATGATCTTTGAAAATTCAAACACATTTTGAAGATATAAGAAAATTTTATTCAAGAGGCTAATTAATACTCCCTCCATTTCAAATTAATTGAATTGTTGAGGTATTTCACACCCTTTAAAAAAAGAAGATTAAGACATAAATTAGACATAACTTTTCACTTTTACCCTTATTAATAACTAATTTCAATAATAACTAATGAAAGGTAAAATTGGAAGAACGTTCTAAAAGTAGTCTTGAAAACTGAACAATTAAGTTAATTTGAAAAATGAAAAATGTCTCAACAATTCAATTAATTTGAAATGAAGGAAGTATGAATAAAGGACAAAATAGTAAATTTAAAATCAATCTAATAATATTTTTTTAATTATTGCATAAAATAAAAAGTACTCATCTATAGATTGGAGGGAAAATTAAATTTGAAAAAAATTGAAATTAAATCTTATTCATTATATAAAAAATCAAAATAAAAAGATAAAAACAGCAAATAATATAGATTTTTTATTTGCTATATATGAGTGTGGGGATCGAAGTTAAGAAATAAAAAATGAAAATGGTACGACAACTTTGCCGTAGGGATAAAGGAAGAAATTAATGGATGGAACTCCAAGAAGTGGACTTACCATTAATTTTTCCTTTTATTAAAGGCATCTTTCATTCTTGACTATTAAAATTTGCATGTTTCCAAAATTTGGCACTTCTAGTGGAAATTTGTTGATAATAACTTTAGTGGTTTTGATAATTCCAGTATTTGTATCGAGTAAGTTTTGATCAAATAAAAAGGAACTTAAGATGGTTATATAATTATTGACATTTGACAATATTTAAAATATGTATAGTACATATTTCTCTTTCAAATCTTTTCTATTTCCATTTCCGCTCACTAACTACAAAAGTGTGAAGAATAATTTGCATAAAGATGATTTTTGTCATGATTGGGATTTAGCCAACAAAACTCATTACTAGTTGACAAATTATTGACATTAAACATCACTTACTGTTTAATGTCAATTCTTTATATTATTATCATAATGGATTGTGACTAATTGGTGTTTAACTGGCACTAATCCATTTCACATGTTATGAACATCTTTGAAACATGATGATATATTTATGCGACCTTTTCTTTTACTCCATGTGACAGCTAATACCATACTTTGCGACAAGATCTGATATTTGCTTCTCAATTAGATTTAAGTTTCCTTTCAACACAATTTAATAGTTAGAAGGCCATAGTATAAATCGTAATAACTTTTTTTTTTTTAAATGTGTACCTCTCATTAAATAAGACATTAGGTTACGCTTTCCCATTTGTCAAGCATACTACAAAGAATAGCATGGATTAGAAGGAAATAACATTCTGGCACAATATGTGGACATCGAATTAGTAGGTATATAATGTTCGGATATCCTGCCCTAGAACCTGCTTTTTATTGATATTGATCTAGAATTAGCTATTACTTAAAAAGGGTTTATTATTCCTAACCAAAAATTAAACTAATCTCGAGATTCAGAAACATATCAATATGCCTAACCTTAAGGAAAATGATCTCGTTAATTAGTTCTACCATATATATAAAAACTATTACATTGATTTGGATTGAAAGGAAGAAGTTATTAGGACCCTTACTTTGAGAGTTGATTCGTTCCTACTTTCTTGGGATATCTTGATTATGTGTAAATTAAAGAGAAAATCAAGTCTACATCTTTATTCAACCCGAATTTAGGTGCAATTACTGATATCAAAGTAAAAGAAGGTACATTAATACAATAGACTTTTGTTTCCATAGAATAGGAAGATAGAATAGAGGGGAAATGGGGACCAAAGTAATGTTTTAGGCTCATTGTTGCAAGTGCAATTATAGGATGTGCAAAGTGATGATGACACTATGTGTGTAATTATTATTATTAGAATTATAAGAAGAAAAGAAACACGTTCTTGTCATGAGTAGTTATAAGTAGTGTACAAAAAGAAGTCCATTATAGTAATTAGCTACCTCTCCTTGTCACACCCCATTTTATTATATATTGGCATTTCCTATCATTCTTCTAATTCCTATATGCTCCTCCATGTGGGGTGGGAATTAATGTGGTATTTTAAAAAATAATATATGTGCCCCTCTAATATAAAACAGCCTTCATCGTTGTAAAATATATGGGAATGGGACTTTGTTTAAGAATCTGATCATATATTCCTGTTTTCCCGGACATTCTTAATCAAAAGGTCTCGGATTCATATTCTCTTGGATACAAAATCGTTTTTGTTAGGGAGCACTTTATCCTTTTCGGTGCGAATTCGGATGGAAAACAAAAGAAACAAATAGAAAAGGCCTAAATATGCCTCAATATTATCCTACACAGTTTTAAAATATTTTCCGTTTGAGTATCTGTTCACCCAATTTAAAAATCTCGAGGTTCTTTATATTTTATTTTATTTTTGGAACAAATATATGTTGTTCTAATTTTATATATTCGATAAATAAGTAAACAAAAAGGAATTAAAGAAAATTTTGACAATTGAAGTAGTGAAAAAATGTAAATTATACTACCTGTTAACAGAAAGAAAAAAAAAATTATGCTGTAGTTTGAGGCTTAACCTCCTGGCACCAGTCTGAAGGTGGTCAGGGAATTGGGCGCTCTTTATTTTGTAGTTTTGTTGATGAGTGCTGGTAATAATATTTCACAGTTGTTACAAAAAAAAACAGAAAAATTAAAAGGAAAGCTGGACTTTTTTTTCGAAAAAAAGTAGGTTATAAGTTTAAGTTTTAGCAATATAGATGAGAGAAAGTCTAGTCGGAATGAAAGTTTGGTTAAAAAATGAAGGGAATAGTATCCATTTCTTGGAGACCTTATAACCCCGTTGAAAATTTGGCTCATTTATTTTTTCATTGATTTTCTCAATTGTTGAGAGCCCAAGAAGTACATAAAGAGCTATATGTCCTTATTTGTTTTCATCAATTGAAGTGGTGGTTGATGATGTGTTGGTAGTGGAAATGGTTGGTAATAGGGGTTGGTCACATTGTACCGATAATGGTGATGTAGATGGTGATGGCAATGTCAATGGATATAATTATAATGATGGAGTAGTAGATGTGGTAGTGATTGACAGTAGTGGTTGACAGTGATGGTGATTGTCAGTGGTGGTGGTTGTGATGGTGAAATTGGTTGTCAGTGCTAATAGTGATAACTGAAGAATGTGTGGTGATTGATGATGTGTTGCTGGTGGAGGTTGTTTGTAATAGGAATTGGCTACAGTGGTGGTATTGGTTGAAAGTAATAGTGGATGTGGTGACGTTGGTGATAGTGAACATAATTATAATGTTGGAAAGGTAATACGTGTGGTAGCGATTAATACAAGTGGTTAGCAATGGTGATGGTTGTCAGTGCAAACAATGATGTTGTTTCAATAACACTAACAAAAATCTAGTGTAATTAGCATGTATCTCGCATACTGGATATGCGAGTGAGATAAGAGAGTGACAAGCAAGATAGGAGGGAGGCGAGGGTGCGAGATTTGTATATGTATCCTAGATACATGCGAATCTACTTGGATAAAGTGTATCTAGAACAAATTAACCCAATTTTGAGTCCATATATTTCGAGATACTATCTGGGTACGAAAATTTATAATATTACAACATAGCGTGTATTCAAATAATTAGATTATATACTAGTGAGATTTGTAAATTACTCTTAAATAAAAAGTTTTGGCCCATAGGTCGGGCTTATAAGCCCTAGTTTTAAATGGGTTTGAAAATTTTTATCCTAACCCTACCCTAATAATGGGTAGGGTTGGGCCGGCCCCATGGGCTGAGCCCATTTTGACGACTCTAAGAGTGATGGTAAAAATTATCCACACAAAAATACCTTTTAATGATATTAAGACTTGTTCAAGATCTTAATGACTAAACTTATCTCAGGCTAAATAAGTACTTAAATCTTAATGTAAACAAATACACTTAACCATTTACATTTAGACTTTCATTAAGTGCCAACAAATAAGGCCTAAAGTGATTTCTTCCCCTCTAGTCAAGCCTTAAGTTGATAGATAGATTTACTCTATACCTGAGATAATGGGAGTTAACAAGTAATCGTGAAATTTATCAAGTTTAGTTCTCCTCATAGCCATGAAAATTTTGGTGAAGGTGATGCAAAAGTCCTGGTCAACATTATTTCACAATAAAATATACTAGTGTGTCTGTACTTGTTTATCAATGAAAGTAGTTGGCTTAGATCATCTTTCACCCCTGGCACAATTTCAAAGGAAGAGTCAAATCTCTACACAACATGAAAGCAGAATCATCTTCTCAAGAACCTCAGATGCACATGACATCATCAAGATGTTCTTCACTATTAATGGCTTTCCTTTTTGCTCTCTCTGCATCTTTCCAATTCAATGACCCTGGTAATTAATTACCCTTTCTTCATTTAGCTATCTTTGGGATTCCTAAGTGATTTCATTTCTTTCTGTTTTTGGTTTTCAGATTGGTATTTCTGGTTTCCTCTATATGCACTGGCTTGCCTTGTCAACATGGTCAATGGATTCACAAAAATAGCCAAAATTACTCTCTTGATGGGGACCATCTTATTCCTTAAAGTTGTCATTGAAGATATTTGGTTTCATCAAGGAATATCTGGAATTTGGTCATTTGATATGAGGGAGAGAGTAGTGAGGGAAAAGATTGGAAGTGGACTTGTTATTCTCTCCATGTCTTTACTACTGCAAAAAGAAAACCCCAACAATACAACACTTCCAAACCATGTTGAACTTGGTAATTTTTCTACACCTCTTCCTTTGGTTTGATTCTCTTATGTGTGTTGAATGTTTTTAGCTTTTTGTATTACTGTTTGTCCACTATGTCATGCATCTGTTTTTTGCTTGCAGGTCAGTCAATCTTGGTTGCAATAGGTTATGGCCTGTCCTTCGCGTTCTTTTTGTTCTCAAAGCCAGAAATGAAGTTCTAATCTTACAACAGTTTATAGTCTAGTGGTATCAGTATGAGTATTTCATAAGTTGGGTGCGAGTTTAATTCTCACTATTCTGTTTATCCTTCCTTTAAATCGATCCCCAGTGTAATAAATTTATTGGGAAAAAAAATAATATTACTAGCAGCAGTGTCTAGACTCAAATTCTTGTCTCTACATTTATGAGTGGAAATTTGGCCATGCATTTCTGATTGAAATTGAAGAGTGAGTGACCCCAGAAACTATAGAGAAAGAAAAAGCAAACTGGTAAAGCTACAAATCTGTGATGGTAAATTTCATTACATCACCAGAAGACGTGTGACAAAACTAGGTCACACAAACTATAAACTAAGGACAATTACAAACTTTTTGCTTCCTGCTAACACACCAGGCCTGCCTCGGGATTCCAAATCTCTACAGATCTGAATTCATAAACCTCTGAATGCACAATATATTAAGTAGAGGATTTAGTAAAGACGTCCCCTGCAATTGGAGGAGCCACACAGGCATGGAGACCCTTCTCCGGGCAATAGTTTGTATCTATAATCATAGGTCAGTTCTTCACCTGCAAGTATCTGCTCAAGGAAGTCGAGGGGGTACACTATGTCAGAGTCACGAAAGGCAAAGAGAAGGAGGGGGCATAATGTATCAGACAAAAACTTCAGACATCAGGGGATAAACCAGTCCTAGCTGAGATCAAATAAAGTTACCCAAAAAAAATCCAGTAAAAAAAAAATAAGAACAAGCAGCAATCTGTTTTTTTTTCATGATCTGACTGATACAATTGTGCATCGTCACTTGACCAATATTTACCAAAGAGGAGAGAGAACATACATCTCGCCTTGCATAAAAACCAACATGTGCAAGCTGATGTTCCATGCTTTCCACGAGAACTTGGTAATTCACGAGATTTGGTGAGCAACTAAAATTGCAACAAAAGAGAAACCAAAACATTTTCGTAAGAACTTAACTGAAAGCAATCTGAAATAATATTACACATCAACTCATGATCAGCAGCAGGAAATCCAAAAAAAAAAAAAAAACAGCTACTGTTTCACTTATCAATATTGTTTTTTTTTATTTTCTGTGTTTGTGTGTATGCTACTTTTACAGCAGAAGAGAACTTAAACTCCTCTTGAGTTACAAATAAGACATTTGTTAAGTGAAGGATCATTCCATTGACAAGCAGCAATCTACAGGCCACTGGAAGCCATCCTAATTGCATATGCATTCTAAGTAGGAATATTTCATCTATTAAGATTTTCATGTAGGCAGCATGGTTGTAGTACTCATTATGTCCTATGCAATTAGTACTACACCAGCATAATTGCTCTACATTCTATAAGAAAGGGCCCACCCAATAAGCTATCTTGCTTGACAAAAACAAGCGGCGAGAACTTTCTAGCAGTGTTTATGGGAAACTACTTTATAGGAAACCAAGGTGTAAATCATATGTAGAAACTCTACACAATCATCAAAAAAATAAAAGATGTAAGACACAGGACAAACTTTCACATAGTTATACAACAACAGTGTACCCCAATTTAATCCCACATAGTTATATCTATTTAAATCTCTCAGCAACACCCAGGTAGGTGAGGTAGAAGCACTGAATGGCAGAAGTGAGAACAAGTTGAAGAAGCCCTTAATGATCAGTCAATAACCTACATATTTTAGAACAGATTTGGTGGAATTGAAAACAGGAATTATGCTTTGTATGCAGTTGAGTTAAGCAAATTGATCACTAGAGTGTACTGGCCAAGTAAAAAAAAAAAGAACAGAAAAAGATAGTAAATCAGTCGTATCTTGATTGTGACTTTTTTTCAGTATGCTGCTCCGTGGGTAAGGAGTGCCATGCACGGGTGGAGCAAAAAGATGGTATTCTTGCAGACTACTTAACAGTGTTTTTTACGTAAAAGAAGACCTTTTATCTTTATAGCAAGTTGGAGTAGAACTCAATTGAATTTTTGCCTAGTACAGGAATTGCATGCTGGTATTGTAATAATAGATTTGTTGGTTTGTCAATCTTCAGTTAATGAACTGACCATTATAAGCTTTGTTTGGCATTATAAAGGAACTTTGAGACGTGGTATTTCCACATTGCCTTTACTTATACACTTCTATTGGAGCTGATGGTCTCAATATAATGCAAATTGAGGCAATTATAACCACATTGCGATTAAAGTAAATCAAGAAGAGAGCTGTAACAGTACCTGTGGTTGATATAACGGGAAATGTTTCCATAGTTAGTAGCATCGATTACATATGGAGACTGCCCTTCAATCAGTCTGCTCATATCATTGATGTGAGCATCTATCTCCAAGAAGTACCCACAACCTTCTGTGGCATACCTACTCAAATAGGTGGATCCAGATATAAATAAGGTGCAATGACATACAACAAAGAAATTTTAGCTACCAAGTAGAATGTGTTATAAACTTATAACCTATTGCGTCTTTTATTTGCTTCCTGCTCATCAAGTACCTCTCCTACATATTCACACACAAATGTACCACAAAGGATTGCTTCTCTTGCCCTGACTGCCCATCCCTGTAAGATAAAATAGTAAATAGCTAGAGAAACTAACGCCTTAATAATTTCAGATCAAAGCATTACCCTTGTCTCGGTTTTGTATATTTCTAGCTTCACACGCACTCCACTCTGTAAAACCCTATTCTGACAAGATTTACTGCACGAGCACCATTGATTGCATTCATAGACAAGGTAGCCCTCCTGAAAATCAAGTTAGACAATCAGGCGCAAAATGCTAATCAAATAGAACAAACCCTACAAAATTTCAAGCATCATGTATGATGATCATACTGTAATGCTCTCTCAGCCAACACAGTTATCAGACAAATCCAGATTATTGAGCAGAAGATAGTACACAGGGATTCCTTATCTTTTTAATGACAAGAGTACACAAGGCATCCTAGAGTGCATAATTATCAGCCAAAAAAACTACGGACTGCAAATCACAAAATTACGAAAGAAAAATCGAAGGAATGTATTTTTACCTCCAACATAATCCGACCTCTCTCATCATATGGGAACCTTCCACGCATAGGCTTCCCATAAATATCTTTTGCATCCTCGTAATCATTATCAAAAAGGTAAATATGATCACAAGTTTGAGAAGAGCATGATGAATTTGGACAAGCACACCCCAATTGGGAACTCTGCCATAAAAGGGAAAGATGATTTAGAGAGGAGGGGAGACAGTGACTGAGGGAAAAAAACAACTAAAGGCTATGAAAACCATTTGTTCCGGTGCTTTGCCAGATGAAATGGAAGTTGCAAGGAATACTAGAAGTCAAAACAAGTTACCCCTATTGCAAGATCCACGGATTGATCAATCAATGATTTTGTTGCATAGGTAAAGCTCTCCCAAGGTAGAGAACTTGTGGTAATTTGGCCATTGGAGCCATCAGCAAGAATGTGGAGGGAGGCAAAAAGATTTTCTTCTACCACACAAGTTATCGGAACTGACTCCTGTCCAAAGCTTATGTCATCACACAAGAGAATAGTTTTGTCGGATGGTTCATGCTTGAACTGTTGAGAATCAATGACATAGTGACATTCATCCATAGTCCACTCACTAATAGCAGAATTTGGTGGAATACTTCCAGTTCTATTCGCTTGACCAGGATGGGGAAGTACTGAAGATACTATGAAAGGATCATGAACAGGTCTACATCCTTTAGGGCAAATGAAACCATCTTGGTGCCAGCTTACAAGGATATTGTGCTCACTACACAATTTTGCTGCTTTGAGATACATGCGCTCTGGCAAAATTCCATATGTTGCTTCAAGTGATGCTTGGAGGCTTACTTTGCAGCAAGTAATCCGAGCTATTGATAAGATGTCTGAGTTACTTGGCCGTGGCTTTGTTCTCTTAATCTCAGCAAACAATATCTTTGCAATATCTAAGCAGTGGGGATCTGCCAGTCTACCTAGACCAGCTGCCTCGGTTGCACTAGGTTGAATCGTAGATTTTCCACTAATAATGGAGTTTGATGACAGGATGTGTCTCTTCATATTCTGAGCATTTCTGTTCCTAATCCTATATGCTACAGAGCTGAGACCCTTCTTGAATTTCGGACGGCTAAGTCCTCCTGACTTCAATTTATGAGCATATAAACGGATGCCCTTCTTGGAGATATGAGAGCCAACAGGATTAGGACCCATGTGAGCAGCCTGATGATGGCGGCCTAGATCAGGTAGCAAGTCAAATTTCAGGCCACAAAATCTGCAGATGAATTTTCGGAAACCAGACTGGTTCTCTGAATTGAAATTCTGTGTCGACAACGAGTAGCCTATATCAGGCTTCTCTGACGCAACCTCACTTGCAGGAAAATGATTCTCTTGAGCAGTATGAGACCATCTAAAACTGGCAGGATGTGCGGTGAGCACATGGGACCATAACTCCTCTGAGTTCCCAAAATTGCTAGTACACGGAATACACTGGAAAAGCATGCAATTTTCAACAAACTGTGAATGGTGCCTTTCCTGCACATGAGTTTCCAAAACTTTCTTATTAGTAAAAGAATCCAGGCAGATAGCACAAGCATAACCCCTGAACAGCCATTGAGCTTCCTTTTTGTGGTTGTCCATCCAGTGCGTGCCAAGCACTTGCTCATCTGGAAACGTCTCTGAGCAATTTTTGCACTTTATGACATCACAATGATCCTGGTCATTATCAGTAATCCTTAATAATGGAATTGGTTCTTCGATGTAAGAGGCAGCTTGTGCATTTTCACTAGAGCTAAAGCCCCAAACACTTTTCAGCCTCTCTTTTTCAGTACAAACTAATTTCATTAAGAATTCACCAACCATTGGATCTTTAGAAGCTTCAGATATGACCCACTGGAATTGCACTTCTTTTGGAATTGGGTTTCTCAAGGAAAGTAAACTTTTGAGAAGTCTATAGAAAAGCTCACAAGCTTGATGTAAATACAGTCTTTGATCCCTGGACTGGCAATCCTTCAAAAGTTCTATGAATACTTCC